AAGAAAATTCTGAGTGAAAATTAATTGTGAATAACATTCTAAATAAAATAATTTCGTCTTGGGCAATTTTTCAACATTCAGAAATTGTATCACTTTTCAGTCATTTGAATTTATTTAAATTTGTAACGGTGTGCTATCTTTTTACATAGGTCATACATTTTATATAGGTCAACTGCACATTTTCGCGGGAAAGTAGTTCTAAATGTATTATATTTTTATTGCATTGCTGAAATTTCTACTTATCTATTCTTTGAAACTCATCGAAAAAATATTGTTTCCCTTGTTCTTTACATCGTTAACTATTTTACTTGTGTTACTGAGAAGTGCGTATGGATACACCTGGAATTCAAAATTCAAACCGCCATTTTTTGGCGAGTGAAATGATGCAAAGTAGTAGGTCGCAACTGGTTGAAGGGGACGGCTAGTGCAGCACTCCGCAATAGGAAGTGGTAACTGCTGTTCGTTTCGCGTCTTGCGTGGATATATTTGGGTTTCGAATTGAAGAAATCGTGTCAAAAGCTTCAGTCATTGTACTGTTGTAGTAAGTTTGTTTTAAAAAAGTGTTTGTCAGTGTTGTCAGAAAATATGCGTGAAATAGTCCACATTCAAGCCGGGCAATGCGGGAATCAAATAGGAGCAAAGGTAAACCATGCTTTCAAATCTCATTATCTCTTTGTAATATTTTATGTTCAATATCAATATTAATTTAATTCTCTGCGTAAGGATACATATTTTATTCTCAGTTTTTTTACATTTTATACTTTAATATTGTGAGAATGTCGTCTGTTCTACGTTTCGTTAACTGATTTATTTGGTAATAATTCATTTTATTGAATAAACGTGTTGATCCATTCGGCTTACACATTAATAGCGTGGTGTTTACTTGAAACACGGCTTGAAAAATCACGAAAATGAGTTGTAATGTTGCAAGATGAAATACTTAATTGAAAACGTAGTCAACATTTTAGTTGTTTTTATTGGAACTTCGACAGGAAACACTTGCAATGTTAAACATTAATTTCGATTCAACTTTTGTCAGCTCGTTCGGCCCAACAAACACACTCGCAAGTTTTTGAGTACTATCTAATAATGAAAATTGTTTTAATTCTCTCGGCCTATTTTAGCATAAATATTTATGGCGGAATGCAATTATTGGCTATCAAATCTTGGATTGACGGGAAGTCCCAACGCGTTCATGAACTGGGATAGACACAAATTTGCTGCATGACAAATACAGGACATTCAAATATTTTCGACGAATATGTCATATTACAGATTTTGTAAAATGTCGCCGGTTACACTCATCTCATGCTGCGATACCATTTTCGTTGTAATGATAATCCAAAAATATTTTTGCTTGAAAGTCTCGTGACAAGTTAAAATGAAAATTCCCCTCGTGAATTCGCGTCTGCGAATAGTATCAAAGGAATTGTGGATAAATGGACTAAAAATTTAATTTTGCACAACAGTTGCATTGAATCTTTCGGCTGAGGTGTAGTATACGGTACGTGACGAAAGTAGGGTGACGTAGACATGGATGCCATATTGGGCGGAATACTGCTAATTGATAACGCAAGACAAAAGTCGACTTGCGGGAAGAAAATGCATTTTGCGGGATTCCGTCTATTGGGCGGAATCCGTTGTTTCCTGGGAGGATTTTGGGTGGTATGCATTTTCTGAGTACTTAAATCTTCAATAATGCTCGCATTTTCCCACAAATTGTATAAGTATTGATGATTATTGTATTGTACTATACAAGTATTGATAATGAAAGAAATTGCCAATGCACAAGTGGTTTAGTTTTGTATACCTTGTAAATATGCAGCTATTATGAAAATATGTCAGTGCCCGTTTTGTTTTGAACATGCATTTTACTCCTTTTTCTAGAAATTGCTGTAAGACTTCTTAATAGGTAGGCTTTATGGCCCAAGAGTATTTAGTTTTAAACTTCTTGTGATCGATTTTTAAATTATCAGCCCTAGTGTCAGTATAAGTTTTATTCATCACTCACCTTTCTTCCCCGCTGGGTTATTTGGCGGAATTGGAGTGATTTTTATCCCTCCGATGGCGGATTTTCCGAAAAGAGATCGGGCAACTCTGGACGTAGGTGTTTTTTTCAGCGTTGAAGTTGAAATTTTTGTCGAGGCCAAAAAATCAACCGCGACCATGAAAAAAAAAACACTTCTTTAACGAAATATGAACATTTATTCTACAACTGTGTAAAAATTTTAATACAAACATATATGTTAAAGTTCGTAATTTTATATTAGAATAAGGTGGTCGATATCTCTGGGAATAGCAGTATTTTATAAAGGGATACTCAGGTAATTTTCAATGAATTAAGTTCTTTTTTCACGGTAACAAGACAAGTAGTTAATATAAAAAGTGTCTTTTTTACATGCTAATAACAATGCGCAGAATCTGCCTTTATTATAGAGTTGTAGAACTAGGTATTTGTGATTCGAGTGGTACACGTTGCAATTCGTTTCGTGTGTAGGAAATGTTGCATCAGGAGGCCAATAAGCCGAGTAGCACAATCCTACGAACAAACTAAAATCACTTTTTCCTCCAAGCGGAATGGACCCACCAAACCAAACAGAACTACTGTAGGGTTCGTAGGCTTCCGCGGCCGGAGTCAATGCATTCTTGGCTATCCGGGATGAGTCGCGTCTCGGTCAATTGTACTAATGTTTCGGCCATCTTGCTGTGGCCTTCTGCAGAGCTATACTGCCGACGTTTCGGCCATCTTGATGGCCAGCAAGATGGCCGAAACGTCAGTTCAATTGACCGAGACGCGGCTCATCCCGGATAGCCAAGAATGCATGAACTACTGGAGCTTCAAAAGCTCACACTTTCTCGCATTATTTCTAACTTTGTGAATTTTCGGAAATTCAACGAAAATGGGACCTGCGCCATTCTTTTAAGCGTCCCTTGTTGTATCCGTGTAGGGGGAGGGTAAAGAAAAAAAGCGATTTTTGAAAAATGTTGTTTTAAAATATAATTTGCATTACCTGAAAGTAGACTTTAAGTGAACACTTGTTTTTTCCGAAGAATCGTTTTTTACAAAGATCTGTTTCTTTAGAATATATTTTCTTTAAGAAAAAAATCTTCCTCATCAGAGTATTGTAGTTTTGCAATATTAATTTTCGAAAATTGAAAGTGTTCGCCAAAAATGGAATATAAAAAATGTTATTGTCTTGCGATACATACGAAGAAAAAACTTTGAAAGAAAAAATGTATAGACGTTTTTTGAAAAAATAATTGTTAAAAATTGCCCATATTTCACAAAAACAATTCATATTTTCCTACACTTAGCTTATTTCTGGATCTGTCTTTGAAGAACACGGTTCATGAAGCAAAGAAAAACTGTTTTCAATTGTGTAGTTCTAGAGAGACTGAAAAAATGTTGGAACGGTTGCAATTTAAAAAAAAATGGGAATTCAACAAAAATGAGACGTACTATTTCATTAGAAGTTCATGTTATCCAAAGACCAAGTTATAATCCAAAAACTTGAAGCCTTTTTTGGAGAAAATTTTGAAAATATTCATGTAATTGAAAATAATAGTGCTCTTATACTTTAGTGCTGTAATTATTTCTCACAGTTCAACAGTACAATAACAACTTATTGACATTTCGTCAAGACACCACACTAAAGACAGTCTAACAAACTGCAACATTGTCCAAACTTTGGTGCTCTGTAAGGAATGAATATCCAGAGTTAAGAAAGTCATGCGTGTTCTGCTTTCTTGTGTGAAACAAGATTTTCAGTCAAGAGTGTGCAATTCTGTACCAAATCATGCAACATATAAAACTAAGTTATAAATTAAACATACTTTGGTCTGAATAATGCATCAATGGGCAGAAGATAATGCTTATGGGTACGCAACACTATAATAAAACACAAACTATGACAAAAACATTTACTATTTAAAAACTTGAACATGAATAAAAATGTTGCATCCAAAACTGCTTGGAGAAGATGCGTAATTTCCATGGACCATGTCCGGGGGCCCTGTTGTATTTAGGCACCCAAACTCAAAATTAAATACTAAATATCTTAACTAAGTAGCTTGCAAAAAATGTCTATGGAACTATTGCAGAGAATGATTCATACAAGGAATAAATAATGTGGGCTGGCAAATTAATGATCCACTCTCAATTTTTTCTTATTTATATTTTTGCTTAAATTACATTTCCTAAGTTCTTCCGGTAAAATATTAAAAAGTTTAATACATTAAGAGTAAATGTGAATGTCTTCCAATTTCTTTGTACTTCTTAGATGGGTGGAGAAGGGGATGTTTGTTGGGAGTATTCAAATGTTGATATAATTCTTCTAAAATGACATAGTTTTTGAGTAAGGACTTTTCCAGGACAAAAAGCTGTAGTGAGTAAATTTTGCCATTTTTAAATTAACTGACGAGATTCGATTAACTGTGTGACACCATACAAGCCTATAAATCTCTCGGACTTTTCTGAACTGTCAATTTTTTATTTTTTATCCCCCGTAGTTGTCCTCCCTTTGTCAAACATTAATTCAGTAATGGCAGCCGTGAATACTGCAAATCAATGTCAATAATTATAATGAACACAGTAAGTATATAATAAAAAGGTATACATGATGGCTTTTGAGTCAGAAAAAAAAGGTAGTTGTTATTAATAATTTATTTTTAATAGGGGGAGGTTTATCAGAATTCATTATCTGAAGGGAGTTGTGTCAGCAAGAAGTTTGAAAACCACTGTCATACAAGAACAAGATTTATTCACTTTTTTTTAACCAGGCCATGACAATTAGTTTTTCTGTTGAAAAATAGCTGTTTTCTATCTCATGATTACAATATTTACTCTTAATGAAGAAAGATAAGAAAGTAAACGTCTAACATGCATTTTATACAATATTAATAAAATGTGCCATTATTTAAATTGTAGGGAAATTTATGTTTTGTAATCCTGAAATGCTTTATAACTCATTAAATAGTTGTATTAATTGCATATGTTACAGTTTTGGGAAGTTATTTCTGATGAACATGGTATTGATCCAAATGGTTGCTATCGTGGTGATTCAGAATTGCAGTTGGAAAGAATTAATGTTTATTACAATGAGGCATCAGGTAAAATGCATTTACTTTTTTTTTCTGATGAGATAATGTTAAATATACATTAAATTATTGATCGATACATGAACTGAAATAGGACCAAAATTGTAATTTCTGATGTTGTGATGGATGTTTTTGTAGAAATAGTCAAGAATTTCATTTCAGATAACTCTGGCTGTTGAAAATTTTGTGGAATAAAATGTTGGAACTTTTAAATAGGGTTCAATAATTTGTTTCTCAAAAATCTTCATTAATCAATTTATTTCAACTAAAATATTCTGATTGTTTTATAAAAGTTGTTAATTGTTTTTGGTTCATTAAATGTTTTCTTTTTTCTTTTTTTTTTCTTAAAAAAAAAAAAAATGTATGTTGGTACTTATTACTAATCATTTCTCACATAAACAACAAACATTTCATGAGAAATAGTACTCTGTAACAAATATTTCCAGTATTATATTTGTATGGGAAGTGATCTTGTACAGTGAAACTGTAAACAGATTAAAAACTTTATATCAGATTCATTTTTATACAGCTAGTAAGGAGTATTTCCATTAGGCTTCTTATTGGTTTTCAGGGACAACTCCTGAGTAATTGAAAACATTTGCATAAACATAAACTAACTTCATGAACAGGTTGAGTTTTATATTTTGTAGTTGGAATTTGCAAGGGAACCTTAATTCTAATAAAAAATGCAAATGCGCCATTGGCTGCTTTTGTGGCAAGTCATATTTTGCAAGAGAGTCATAAATTTCTATAACAAAATATATTTTATAATTGTTTAATAAAATAAATGGTATAGTTTTTCTTTGTAAAGAAATTTAATGCATTTCCAATTGGAAACAAAGGTAAATGAACATTCGACGAGCAAGCACATCCCAAGGATGTTTCTTATAGGTAGTCTTTCTCCAAGAAACTAAAAGTGTCTAATGTAGAGGTTCTTTATACTCATGTCAATAATAAAGAGATGTCAAAATTACATATGACATACTGTTGTGCACGTTTTTCAGGTACCAAGTATGTGCCACGAGCCATATTAGTTGATTTAGAGCCAGGCACTATGGATTCTGTTAGATCTGGACCTTTTGGACAAATCTTTCGCCCTGACAATTTTGTTTTCGGACAAAGTGGAGCTGGTAATAATTGGGCGAAAGGGCATTATACAGAAGGAGCAGAACTTGTAGATGCAGTTATGGATGTGGTTAGGAAGGAAGCTGAAAATTGTGACTGTCTTCAGGGTTTCCAGCTCACTCATTCATTAGGTGGAGGAACAGGATCAGGAATGGGGACCTTGCTAATATCTAAAATAAGGGAAGAGTACCCTGATAGAATAATGAATACCTTCAGCGTTGTGCCATCCCCTAAGGTAATTTTCATAAATATTACTTTTACTCCTAAATTTTTTTAAATATACCATTTCCATGAACGGTGTGTGTGGTATATCAGCAACAAATTTATGTGTACATTAATGTTAATGTTTGAGTAAGGTGTTTAAATTAAGTTATTTCCGCTTCAAAGAAGAAGAAAAAGGATTTTTCCCCTTCTACTGAAGGCAGAATTTCGAATAATATCAATATTCGAATAACTCATGTTGAGTTCTTTTTAAAATGTTTTTTTACCAGAGAAATACTGTACACATTGTGCTAAGGGAGCTAATTGGTGTTAATGCATCAACAGACCTAAAAAATGAGCAATCTTATTGTTCCTGATGTGTTTTTAGGGTGAACTAGAATACCAGCATTTTTTGTTTTACAGATTTTAATATTTTAAAAATTGTGAGCAGTTTCTTGCAAGAATACATATGATTCTGTCATTTAAACAAGTTTTCATGCTAAGCAGAGAATGTCACTTTAGTTGTTTGATGTGCAATGTGTATTTTCTTGAGTTTGAGACCTCAGAGTAATGGACATTAGCTAAATATTATGTTCTAAAGGACTCCAGAGTTAACTTTTTGTAAGGGTTAAATGTCACCATTGAACATAAATCTATGTGCTTGTTCTGGCAAGTAATGAAAACCAGGAGGTGAAAAATATACTTTGTTTTGGCTATTATTCTTTATTTGGTGAAAATTGGAGTGATTTAGGTTTTTTTAAAGGTGTTCTTTTACTTGATCTAGATGCATGTGATAATGTAGAGAATTGTGAAGAACCTTATAATCATAGCATGGAATATTTTATTGGTAAAATAATATATAAATTCATTTTTGTGATATTCTGGTTATGAGAAGCAAATGTCAGTTCCTGAGCAAAAGGAATATTTTTAATTTTTACATATCCTTCATACTGTTAGGATAACGCCCTTAAGTGCATTTACAATTACAATATACTATATAAGGTATGGTATTATATGTAGTATAGCATGCCAGGAAAGCCTCTCTGCAGTGACACCTCACTGGTAATAGTGTTTGCAACAGAAATTATGTTGGTATCACAAGCTACAGTTTGTAACAAAAGAAAACTTACTCACCACAATCATAATAGATGCTTTAAGTGTTTTCCCCTTCATTTGTTTCCGCGATCTGGTTGCTACCAACATAAATACGATTTTTAATAGGCCATGATTTGGCTTGATGCGGGGACTTGCCTGGCACATTGTATATTATATTTATTATTATTATATATGGTATTGTATGCACAGTTCCATGATTATTTCATTTCCTGAAAAAATTGCTTTTCAATAAATTTCATTTAAATGTTTAAATAAACTCTTCATATTAATTTTTATATTGAAATTTTCTGTAGTCCTTTTCTCATAAATGAGTATACCTAAAAAGAAAAGCAAAACCTCATAAATCTGTTTTCCAAAATGTTTTAATATTTTTATTATTATTTTAATTTCTTAGGTCTCGGATACTGTTGTAGAGCCTTACAACGCCACTCTCTCAGTTCATCAACTTGTGGAAAATACTGATGAGACTTACTGCATAGACAATGAGGCATTGTATGATATATGCTTCCGCACATTAAAACTGACAACACCCACTTATGGAGATCTCAATCACCTAGTATCTGCAACAATGTCAGGTGTGACGACATGCCTCAGATTTCCTGGTCAGCTAAATGCTGACCTTCGAAAACTGGCTGTGAACATGGTTCCTTTCCCACGTTTGCACTTTTTCATGCCTGGATTTGCTCCTCTAACATCTCGTGGGAGTCAGCAATATAGAGCACTCTCAGTGCCAGAATTAACCCAGCAAATGTTTGATGCCAAAAATATGATGGCTGCTTGTGATCCTCGACATGGTAGATATTTGACTGTAGCTGCAGTTTTCAGAGGAAGAATGTCAATGAAAGAGGTCGATGAACAAATGTTGAATGTGCAGAACAAGAACAGTAGCTATTTTGTGGAGTGGATTCCCAACAATGTGAAAACTGCTGTTTGTGACATTCCTCCTCGAGGTCTTAAAATGTCTGCTACCTTTATTGGAAATACCACTGCAATTCAAGAATTATTCAAACGAATTTCAGAACAGTTTACAGCAATGTTTCGGAGAAAAGCATTTTTGCACTGGTATACTGGAGAAGGCATGGATGAAATGGAGTTTACAGAAGCAGAGTCAAATATGAACGACCTAGTGTCAGAATATCAGCAATATCAAGATGCCTCTGCAGAGGAGGAGGGAGAATTTGATGAGGAGGAAGGAGATGAGGGAGAGGAAAAAGATTAAGTTTGGAGTTAAAATGCTGTTCTATCAAAGTACAAAATAGTTTTTAAATGTTTTATTTGTATTACATAATTACTGTACACTATAAAGTGCCTTCCAAGAAATTTCTCAAGTTTACCAAACTTGATCCTTCTGTGATTGTGTTACATAGGAACCTGGTTATTATCCAAGGTGAAGTGTAAAAAGTCTATGAATAAAGTCATTTTTACCTCCTTATTTAATGCAGTGTTTCTATACCTTTTAGATTGTAACCCTCCTACAATGTGAACTCATTATTTTGCTTTAAAGTTCTGGATTCAATGTGGCATTTCAAAAGGAAATGAGAGGATAGAGATGATTTTGTATTCCAATAAGAGTAGGTGTTATATAAGTTGCATGTATAATAGATGTGTTTATAATAGTAGTTGCAAACTTTTTTTTTTGGTACAAAATTAATAAACAGAAAAAATTACCTGCCAACAGCCATGAAGTTTTTAATTGAAATTAGTCATTTTTCTTTAATACCCTAAAGACATGACAAATGCCAAAAATTCATTGACTGAGCTTTTTTTTTTCTTCCTTTTTCAAAAATGTTGCACTTGGGTCATTGGGATGTGTTGACCGGTTAACATTATGCATCTTTCATTCTTACACATATAAATGTGAATATATGCAACAAATCAATGCTAATTAATGTTTCTAATTAAACTAAAAAATGTTCTAATGTTCTGTAAAAAATGTTTGTTAGATTTTGGTAAAATTATGCATGGGATCTGTGATACATGATTAAGCATGTGGGTGGTTTGAATTATTTCTGCTTCACAAACTCGCTATCCTTGATTCCGAGAATGTGGTTTCCAAGAATCACAGGGTGGACGATCTGGCAATTCATGGCCAACGTCTTATCAAAAAGCACAGTAGCATTACATTCTTTTGGAAAAAAGATGGTTTCAGTAACATTTGTTGCATCCAAAATGATCTCTTTTCATTACATTTTAACGAAATATGTAATAATGACAAAATATGTGAAATAAAATTGATTAATTGTTTCAGAATGTCTTGGAAACTCTAAAAAATATAATTGAATATAGGTATCTTTATCATGTAAAAATATATATTTACATGGAAATCCATTATATACTTAACAAAATATCTCGGATAACAGTAAAAACATTGGACAGTACTAAATTGAAAGAAAAAAATATTTAAAAAAATATTATTCATAATACAGTTTGAAAAAGTTTCCCGAGTCCTGCAGTCATAAATAACTGAGCATGGTAAGTATTGGAACTCTGGCTTTGCATTCCATCCAGGAAAGCTACATCATTTACTGGTTTCAGGTTGTGGAAGTCCAAGTATATGGAAATTTATTTTTTTTCTGCATATCAGGTGGCTGTGAGATCTAAGCTATGATAAACCTTTTTTTATTGTTTAGATTTTTCTTTACAATTTGTGTATATTGGATGTTCCTATGTAGCTGTTAGTGAGCTTTCTCACATGTTGATTTACAACTATACAAATCTAACTTAATATTTAACTGTAGAAACTACAAACTGACAGGAGACTCATAAAAGCACCTACTATTTTAGCTAATGTTTGAAAAAATATTTAGGAATGCTTCTAATGGGACTCAAATGTTGATGTGGATTGGAAAATGGTTGATTGATGCTAGATTATAGTGATGTGAAGTACTTAGCTGGTGAATCCCAATTGGGTCAAAGGTAGGTCTACTCTGTTTTGAGGAAAGTATAACAATTTAATGTTATTGTTAAATATGGTACTTACCTTTGTACATTGTTTTAAAACTGAAAACATAGCAAACCAACATTGAGGGTTGATAATAATTAAAATAAAAAAATTGACAGAATTAGATGGTAAATGATGAACAAATGCTTCACTGAATAACAATTTTGTTAAAACCTTGATTGATTTTACCAATGAAGATTTAAAAAATCATTATCATTGTTATAAACCAGCACCAGAAGGGAAGGCATTGGTCTTCAAAAAATAGCTTCTCTTGAAACTTCATCATAAAAAGAAATCACAAATTCTAGATATAAAAATGTTGCAAGAGTGTAAAAGTGTGCAAGGGGAGAAGAAAATGGAACACATTAAAAAAATAAAATGAGTGGAATTCTAATTAATTAAAATGTGAATTTGACCTACTGCAGAAGTGCAAGAATTATTGGATATGTGTACTGTACTGGTTCCTCTTCTAGTCAGAAGCTCTGAGAAATATACGTGATAAACATTGGTCTCTACTGATTTGTATGCATTCACTTTATAATTTGTTTATATGCCCCAGTTTTATAACTACAACTGACAATTTAATAAAAGAATATAGGCCTGCTTTAAAAAAATATTTTGACACGTTTTGGGTTTCTGATATGCAGCTGCAGATTTATCTTGGTCTACACAAAATTCAAAAGATAAATATTGTACACTGCAGTTAATTATCAGAGTATTAATTTTTCACTTTATGGGCTGTAGACCTGCACTATTTGGAACTAGATTAGTGTCTTTTGGTGAAATAATTGTTCCGTGAATATAATCCTTTGATTCCTGCTATTACATTAGAGAATTTGTTGCAAAGTTTTTTCATTTAATTTGTTGCGTTTTTGCAACACATCTCCAAGCCCGTCTTGGGTATATAGCGTCTCGACGTTTTTTTGTCTCGTGTCGCAGTCACTCAATACCTTTTATCATTTCGACCAAGGGCTCGGCGCCGTTAGTAACCAGGATTTCCCGACGGTCACTCATCTAGTAATCCATGGTGTCTCGAATTGCTTACCTTCCCAGACATCACGGTGCGTAGTTACGGAAAGTGGCTAATGATGCCGGCTTAAAGATTTAATAACAACCTCCTAGGGAGTAGGTGATCGAGCTTGAGTACCCCCGTAAGCCTGAGAGCTGTCAGCAGTAACCTAGCTACTGGTAGGGCCTACCATGCTGAGTAGGTTGAAGGCGAGGGTTCAGAAGAAGTACTTCAGACGAGAGCCTCAACTGTGTTTTCGAAGAAAGGAAGATTGATTAAAATGAAAAAGGAACATCGAACACTCAACGGTAGCATCTGATCCACAGCGAGCCGCTGCAAACATCGTCTGTCTCCATGTAGTGACAGCTGCATCCACAGTGAGAAGTAGAGAGGGAAGGATCATGAAGCTTTTGACTTTCTGTTATCGGCACATGCAGGGTACAGGAGAGAAACTGAGTTTGCACAACAGGCCCCTGGTGGAGGCCCGAACCTTGCATTAGCGAAGGAGACTGCCTTTATCGTTTAGTGAAAATCTCGTAGGGTTTAGTAATACCGACTGGCGATCGGAGGGACCCTTGCTAAGCCCTGTAGGGGATGGCCCTTAGACCGCTGTGGGTCGCAGTAACGGATGACAGTGAATAACCCCTGTGTTAAGTGTGACCAGTGAACTCAAACTTGCTTCCTGTGAAACTTCACTTGTCATCTTGACAAAATCTTATTAATTTTTTTGTTTTGTTTCTTTGTTTACCCGCTTTGATGTTTTCCTTTTTTGTAATTTAGAAAAAAAAAGTTTTTTATCGGATCTCCTGTTAATCTTTATCTATTCATTCGCCTCCAAGAACTGGGAAGAAACATTATTTTAGTTTTACACGTACGTATACTCTTTCTGAGGGGAGGCACAGTCAGGTCTAGTGCATGAATGAATAGAAATTGGAATGTATGATGAGGTGGTATTGCATACACTAGCCAGTACCCTAATGTATCGCTCTAAGGTAATTTGAATGGAATGTGAGCTGTGGAATCCGTACAATATTCTAATGCACAAAATAACATTTATTCACAAAAAATGCACCAGTTTTGAAAAAGAGAAACATTACACTTTGCATAAATAATGAAGCTTGAAATGTTGGTACCCCTGAAGACTCGCCAACTGGTAAAATGTGTCCGCCCAGAGGGGCAAACATTATGCTGGTAGCAAATTGTCTTTATTTTTACATAAGCACTTACGAAAGTTTCGCCAACGCACGAGACACAATTTCGCGTGCGGCACGGATTTTTAGTTTATGCCTGGGTGAATAGGTAGTTTTAAACGTATTATGTAAATTGCAAAATTCATTACAATTCATGTACTTTACGATTATCGCACCGTTAAAATAATTATAAAATGACATGCACAGCAGCTCTAATGCCAAAACTGCGTTAAATAGTTCGTCAATGTGCACAAAGGCAACGATTTTATGTGGTGCAATGACCACGTCTGCACGCAACGAAGATTGGCTTTGGATCTGACCTTACTGAATTTCTGCAGTGTTGCGAATGCGTTTGGCATATTAAGTAATTGAAGGAAGATGGTCCAATGGAGTTAACGGACTCAAAAGTTTCCAGAACATTCAATCTGTTGACTATTAGCCCAGTCAAATTAGGTCAAAAACTAGTGATCAAACGGAAAAAGTCCTGGAGTTCTGAAACTTATAATAATTATTTGTTGGTATCTCTCACGCATTATACTAAAATTCTCTTGTGTGGGGGGTGAGATGGGGGTAGGGGGCCGTTTAACGGTAATTTTTTCTTGATTTTTTGCATTTATCGTGTTAATCTAATTATCTTCAAGTCAGTTATATGCAATTATTTGTATTATGGTAATTGAGGAGCAATCGTTTAAAACGTGACACGTCCATTTCACTCTTTTCCAATAAAAATGAAATAATATAGCACAAATGTTACTTTTCAACAGTCTTTAACTCAACGAATAGAATACGACTACTTAATATTTAGTAAGACATTCAGTTTTTTTTTCTGGAAATACAATTCAAGGTAAAAACTAGAGATTAACTCAATTTTTACCAAATGGACATGTCAACTTTTCAATGTTTGCTCCTCAATTTTTATGCTGTAATTATAGAAAAAAAGAAGGGGTCGATGTACCTTGTTTTAAAAGGCGTCAATGCAAGAAATAGTTTGGGAACTCCTTGTATAAGGTTCATCCAACGAGTTCGAATATACTACATAGAGTGGATGAAGCGCCGCCATCTTGAAGCAAATTGAAGCCATGCTTTTTGCAGCGCCTCTGAAGAAATGGAGAATTCTAGAAATATGTTTGGCGCTTGTTAAGACCGGGCGCGGGATGCACATAATATAAATCCTCTTACTCTGTGTTTTCACGAACAAAATCCAATATTTAAAAACAAAATCACAATATGGAAGAACGAATTGAGAAGTTTTAAACACCTGTTTACTGCATCGGTTATTGTCAGAAGAATGGA